TTATTTGAAGAAAATTTACTTATAGCATGTAAAGAATGATAATAGTTCTTTCTAAAAGAAATAAAAGTAGGAAATTATAAGATATTTATTTATTTACAACAAACCTAGAAAAAGAACAAGGAAGAAGTAACAGCAACAACGATAAAATAAAATAGAAGTCCATTAGAGTATAAAATGAAGGAGAACAATCGTTTCTTTCATCTTGTTTTTCCATTTTTAAGTTTTCATATAGTCGGTGATTGCATTCATAGCCAGACAGGAGCTGTACATATGAAAAAGAAACATATAAACAATAATTAAATACCATTTGAATGCAATTTACTGTGAAAATTCTTAATATTATTATGTACACATAGCTTTTAAAGATTATAATAATAACTATTGTAACTGATATAAAGATTTGTTGTCTTGACGTGGGAGTAAAGTACATAAAGAAAGCCGCCCGATCACGACTATGACGATGAAAAATATGAATAATAATGATAACAAGCATATAATAATCAATGAAACAAGCGATTGAATGTAATAAAGGTGAGATTTTCAACAAAACTATACATAGATATTATATATTGTAAAGATTCCTATACATATACAAGATTAATAAAGTTAAGGGCTCGCAATTTTTACAAAATATTTATCTGTAAAATTTTATTTCATCCTTCTGCACGAAAACTTCAGGTTTCTCATTTCAGCATTAATCCTTCAATTTATATATTTGAATAAACGTCTATGAAGAATTTCGTTTTAAAAGTTTCATAATAACTAAATTATATTCTTTAATTTATTTTTGTTATTCAGCATTAATGTACAAGATTTCTATAATATTTCAAATAAATAAAAAAAATCTATATAAAATGTATTCCGTGTCACTTCCATTAAATATAATCAATGATGTATAAAAATACGTGATTGGGGCATTGACACGTTCATAATGAATAATATTTAATGCAGTAATTACAATTCTACGGAATGAATTATTTAGTTATCAATGACATCTAACAGTTTTATGATCATGCACGTTCTAATTGCTAGAATTCGAAAGTATTCGGTAAAAATTGTTAAATTGGAAAATAGCAGTGCTAATGAATTTCTATATCTTGTTAAAACTGACTATTTTCAGGAATATTGAAAGGTAATTCCCATCCTTCATCCATGTATAAATAATTATTAATAAAATATTTCTCTCTCTCTCTCTCTCTCTCTCTCTCTCTCTCTCTCTCTCTTTCTCTCTCTATATATATATATATATATATATATATAAAGTATTAATAGTTTTTACTTATTTTATCTGAGAATCGTTTGAATCAACGAATCTCCTAAATAATGGATTTTTATTTCGAAATAAAACTTCCAATTTGTATGCACATTTTATTTATAAAAAAAAATATATATATTAACAGTAATGACACTGATAACAAATAATAGCTAATAGTAACAGATGATTAGAACGAATATAAGACTGTAATTGCAGTAATATAAATACGTCGAATTATAAAATAGTCTATATACAAGTTTTTCATAAGGTAAGGAGCTCATAAACAAATTAAAAATTTTATTAAAGCCGTAGTACAAAGCCATCGCGTATTGGCTTTTCTATTTGTATTAATTATATACATATAAGTTACAATTAACTAGTAATTTTAGAATTTTGACAATATGTTTAATAGCACATTGGATTAGAATATTACTAAAAACATGTTCTTCGTGAATTCGTAAAATTATCCAAAGTGCGTTGTTGAGAGAAAAAAAAAGGTAAAGAAAAGAAAAGAGTATAAATAAATAATAAAATTTTATATAGAATATTTACGAAATTGACTTACATTTGATCGAATGATATTTAACAAATGTTTATTATGATATTAATGTAAAACTATTATTTCACTTTTCGTTATTAAAAAATAGATGCCTGATAGTCGGTCCATAGAAAATTTCGTGCTTACTTTCTCTTCAAAACAATATCGAGTATATCAATAAAATTACTATTTTCATTTGTAACTGTAATGCAATAATTTCTCCGCATACAACGGTGCTTATCATTTCCGCTCCAAGCAATTAATTTAAAAGAATTATTTGTCGATTCTAAATAGAAAAGCAACATTATTACAAAAGTAGGAAAATAATTTAAAAGCAAATAAATAAGCAAGATCGTAGACGAATAACGCACACATTCATAAGAATTATCAACAATATTCCTCTCTCACTTCCTTTCGCGAATAAAGTTTTACTAGTCCATTCAAACAATAAGTGTACACGACCGACGAAATCATACCAACTCTTGCAATAAAATTATGTTAAAGTTTATTGTACCATAAACTTAGAATTTATTATTTTAATATTTTAATAATCCGTCTGTATTGTTCGTAAATTATTTACACACTGTATGGTAAACATAATCGGTTATCGAATTTCTTCAAAAATATAAAACTACTTGCAGGCAAAGTACTACATATCATGGTCATACATAATACAGTGATAAAGAACTCATTTCTTTGAAATACAATTTTTCTCTGTCGATCGATTAAACTAGAGATGGCTTAAATATTGTATGTATCATGTTTTCAAGCGTACTAGGTTTCATGAATCGCGACATAATTAATCTTAAATAAAAATCGTGCAGCACATTGGGAGCAAAAGCTGCTCGGAAAAGTGATATATTTAATTTAATTTTATCGCAAGAATCGGTAGAATTACATTATTATTTGCGCACAAGTGATTGCGAAAGACGCTTATCATCACCGTTCTCTTTCTTTCTTTATGCTGCTTATGCCTAGATCCTCTTGCGGTATCAGCGGTATGTATCGCGTCCTCGGGTCGTTCTTCCTCTCGTACACGTATGGGAAAACGACAGACCGAAGCTGCAGTAATTTCTCCTCCTCGACTTTTCCAGCTTCCGGAATATCTGCCTTGGGAGAATCGCCGCTCACCGCAATCTCTACCAGTGGTATGAATTTTTTCTCCTGCTCCTTTAAATTCTGCTCAGCGGTGATGTTAATCGCTGGATTATCGGTGCTCTCGGGCGATGACGTGGATTCGACGACGACCAGTGGCACCCAGTCGTCAATTTTCGTTTCGGTAACGACGGTCTCGTTGTCGTTGGTTTTCGCCGACCAGCTTGTTCCTCCTTCGCTCAGCCAGCCACCTTTAAACGAACGTTAATATAAAAACTTTTGACTATGCCAATCTTATTGATTTGTCCTTTTTCCATGCTTCATTGTACGAGGGAATATTAATACTTTTACAATATTACGCGTTTGAATGCTCATCGTCAAGTTTGGTAAATCGAACATTGAAATTTTAAAATATTGATTTAGAAATTTGAAGAATATTTTTACGGCTACTTTTTCATAAACAATCACGTAATTAGCGACGATGCAAAATAAGGCAGATTATTTGGAATAACCATTTATCACACTTTTCTATCATTATAAAGTTTGCAATTTATTTTTTCATTCAATAAAATGGCATTACAAAGTATTTTTTTTTTTATTTTCATTTTTTTTTTTTTTTTTTTTTTTTAAATTCTTAACTAATCCATTGGATATACTCTTGCAAATAAAATATCTTTATATCGAAGATTATTATATTTTTTAACACTTAAAATTACTTTTTATAAATTAAGTGCCTTTCATTCTACATGGCTTAGGTCAATTAATTTTGCGATTTGCATGAATTCTTTTCGCGTCTGTTGAAAATTTTGATTAGAAAGAGCTTGCATAATTAATAATATAAGTCATGGTATGTAATTATTTTTAAAATTTCTCAATTGTGTAATTGCACGAATGACACTGAAGATGTATGTTAAAATTTTTTAAACTGAATTATTCAATAAACATTCGATAAATCTAATTTATCCGAACATTATATACTCTCAATCATTTATGTAAGAGCGACTCATTAGAACAAATTCCTTTCATAATCGGTGCAGTAATTTGTTTATCTCAATTCTCTCTTTCACTCTCTCTCTCTCTCTCTCTCTCTCTCTCATTCTCTCACGATGTATATATATATATATATTGTAATATAGCTTTTAACGTCTATTATAAACGAGTTTACTTTAAAAAGAAAGTCGTATATCAATTAATTGCGATGGCATAAGGATCGATGCATCAATGGATTATCAAAGTAAGTCGAATCGATATAAATCGAGAAACGTTTCAAATTCGTCGAGCTGCCGAACGTTAAAGCTTCGACTCTCACCGTTTCATCAGCATGGTAGTTTTCTAAAAGCCGACCCCCCCCCCCCCCATCCTCCCCTACACCCGCGCTATATTCATTCCCCTTACTGTCTATACTCTCGAACGATCGGCCCGCGAGAGAAATACTTACCTTCGAAAGATTTCTCTTGACGACTGTCGCTATGCTGATTCTGCGCAATCATGGCGGGTATCGGCATCCATTCGTTGCTCTTGTCCGTTTTGTCGGTGAGGCTTGCGCTGGTCGTCGAGGTCGAGAGGAGTGCGCGTTTGCTCTGCTCCATCTTGTAGTTAACGGTCTCGGTCGAGCCTTTCGTAACTGTCTGCACGCTGGCCGAGGACTTCTCCTCGAAATCAAAATAGTACTTGGTGCGACTGTCGTTGCTCTCACCGATTCTCTTCCGGTGCTTGCCACTCGTATTCCACCTGTCGTCATCGTCTCGAGTGCCGAAGAGGTTGCCTGCAATGTCGAGTAAGACAAGTGATTATTAAGAAGCGCTAATATTTCGCGAGATCAGTACCTCACTACTACGCATATTCGATATTTATTGATAAAAATTACATTGGCTTTTTACAACTTGGCGAAACTCGCGTATCCGAGATTATCTTGGGAGTTTAAATAGCCTTTTTCAACTGACTCTCATCCAAAAGCTGAAGAATTTCTCTTACGATTATTAAAGATTATTAACGAGAGAAATTAAGAAATTTATAGATGAAAATGAGTATTATCGTATGATATGGTGAACAAATTTTATTTTTAACACCTACAGATGTTCTTTGACTTTGGTTTTCTTATATTCTTTATGTTTTGGAATATAGGTAATACATAAGAATTATCTCATCATAATGAACTCGACTTTTTAGCAATTTATGTTGATTCGTATTAACATTTTGTATAAATGTTGGAGACTGAAAGATGCCGTGAATAATGGCTTTTTAATGCTTATTGAATAAAAAATATATTTCTTACGGGCGTGTTGAATATTTGATATTATTCGACTTGTTAAATAATGCTAAAAATGATGATAGTTTGTCGATCTGCTCATGTTGTGGTAACATTTTTTTCATTAGTGGTAAATTTTGAAAAATGTTAATTAAATATCGTACGTATTAACAATATCATCAATACCATAAAGAATAATGAATAAATTGGACTCGTTACAACATATATTTATAAATCGAGATTATTTACAAGTTTGCTAATGCAATTAATTATTTATCGTTATTTTTATCCGCCTGTCTCAAATAATAATTCAAACGATTTTATTAAATAATTATTATTTCAATTTGACACGCCCTTATAGTTTAGAGTCTCAATCGATGGAATTATCTATAGGAAAAATATTTTACCTCTAAATTCTCGGCCGTTTTACCTATTTATTACCTAAGATTTAACGTAATTATAAAAATGGACTTTATTATGGAAAACAAGTGTAAGTGAAAACGGAGAAAATAGTTTATTCGCAATTATTAGTACAGTGTAGTGGAGTTAAAGTATTTCGTTCAATTACAAAATAACTGTTGCGAGTGAGATTGTTCGAGTCCTAATAGTAATAATATATTTTGATTAGAATTTTTATTTCATACCCTAATTTCACCTTCATTTTTATTTATTTATTTATTTATTCATTTATTTTTGTTGTTGTAAATGAACATTTATTTTAGAGACAATTACGAATAATACGATGTGTCGATGTGAAGAGAAATAGCGTAATTAACATTCAGTCACGCTATATATTATTATATTATTATACATGGAAATAGCTGGGCGTAGGTGTGTACATTGGATTTGTATTTTACTTACCTATTTGCTACTCTTTACATATACATGTCGGTTAATCGACATTATCGATAAAACGATAATCTTCACTAATGTCATTCTTCGTTAATCTCGAATGGGGCATACGCGTGAGTGCATACGGTGATTTGAAAGTGAGATGAGCTTCCGCAATCTCTAATCGACGCTCAGACATTAAACAAACAGCGGATTTTAAAGGAAATCCTCGATCGGATATTCTGATACATTTTAATCTCGCAAAAATTCAACGCATAACTCAACTACTCATTAATTAACAATATCAGCCTCCACGAGCAAACTTCATTTACATACGAATTGTCGTGTTAATCTCTGCTGCGGTATCGTCTCGCTATCTGTCACTTTCTTTCGCCTTCAAAGAGAGTAAAGTTCAAGGGGGCACTGGTAACTTAACTTACCCAAGGGCGGGAAGTACTTGGGCCTCTCGGATCTACCGCCTCCGATGAAGCTCGGCGTGTACTGCGATATGAGAGGTAGGAGAGTCTGCCGGGCATAACGCTCCGCCTGGGCGAGGATGCCGGCGAGCCTCTCCGGTAAGAACTGGACGGTGAAGCCGCGCGAGCTCGACGACTCGTCCAACGTCTCGTGTCTCCTGTCCTCCATGAGGGGCTGCTCCCGGGCGTCGCGGCGCGTTCCGCTCCGTGGCCGCAGCACCGGCTCCGTGATCTCCGGTAATCTGAGGGCGCGGCCCGTCTCCTTCTTGTTCTTTTTGGTCCCGATGCGGAGGACCGGCTCCTGGACCTCGCCGTTACCAAGCCTAACCTCGTCCCCGCGCACCGAGGTCCCGCTCACAGCCGTAGCGCTACCTCGGCCCGGGTTGAAGGGCCGTTGGCCGAGACCGGAGAACCCGGAGAAGCCCCGTCCGCGTTCCGTGAGTTCGGCCGTGCTGTCATCCACGGAGTTCGAGGCGCCGTCGTTGGCCAAATCGAGGATCGACCATGAACTGGACACGCTCTGTAAAGGACAATGAGAATTCATGGTTGTGAAGTGAACTGACATCGTGCGTGCGCCAGTTCGTCAGTCTGGGTGGGCCCGCACGACCGTTTATTTACTCTGAAATTTAAATTCTCCGCCGAAATAGCAGTCGAGAAGCGTATAATCGCCAGCTGCTTGATGCAAGAAATTTTAATGATGATTGGCTTTTTGGTAATTGGTTGCGACGGCAATCGATTTTTTATGCCAACGTATAACCCATTTTGGCACATATTTGACCATTTACCAACTAGTTAATAATAATGTTTTTTACAATTTATTGCGAGCGTTCACTTATGTACTCGTTTATGAAATAAACTCTTTCCACTTTTAATGCTTTAATTTAATAGCCGCTTTCTCTGAATAGATTTTGAATGAAACGCTTCTCATTGCTATTATTGCCGTTGACTCAAAATTAATGATCGATGTTTCATCAACCCTGACTTTCAATGGCATTCATCATATCAATTGGTAAATATTTTATTCATACTCGCGGTATGTATTTTGAGAGACATTATCGATACTTTATGTCTAAAATTTACATAAACTTTGCGCACAATAGTGTAGATAATTTTTGCTGTTTAAATTTCTTGTATTTTGTTTCTATAATTTTATATATCTACACGTTCAGACGAAATGGCTATAATTTAAAGAAATAAAATTCTAATACTGATAGAGAAATAAATTAATCGATAAATAAATCATCAGGGATAGAGTATTTTCAATTTTAACGCCTGATTTATAATCGTTTAAATCGTTTAGTGAATACATAACTAATTTTGCAGAACTTTATTTACATACTGTAAATTAATAGTCTGAGGTCCTATATAAAATCAAATCAAGTTGCGATTTATTTTTATTTTTCGTTAATCAAAAATATAAATAATTGTGAGTATAAAATACATAAGATATCTAAATAAATAAATGATTATAAGCATTGATTCGACATATTCATAGTAATTGTACAGTACAGAATTTAGATAATTAAATATTATTATTACTTAAAATATTTTGGTGCATGGTTTTTCAATATAAGGAAAAATTATAATTATCTTATTATCATTTTAATTATAAATCAAATATATATATATATATATATATGTGTGTGTGTGTGTGTGTGTATTTTTTTGTCATCGATGTTGTCTTATATATTTTAATATACTTACGCTAATGGTTATTAGTACTTGCATTCAAAAAAAAAAAAAAGAAGATATTTAACATTGCAGTGTGTCTTTTGCATTTTGTTATGCCTAAATTACAATTACATTTCGAGTATATTCATTAGCTGTTAATTAGATTTATATTTTATTTTAATTATTTATATAAAATGTAAATTTTAATTTTCATAACTGCATAATTTAATTCTTAAAGGATATTAAGAAAAAATTTCTTTACATTGCTTTGAAACGAAGAGTTTTGCATTGCATTTTAATTTATTTTCACGATATGTTGCTATGAGATTTAGTTCAAATCTTCACACATACTTCTTGGTAATTAATTCTAATTTTGCATTATAACTTTACATCGATATCGAATAAGCGACTAATAAGTATTTTCTTCAAAATCATTAAATTCATCAAAATTAACATTTTTTTTTTTTTTTTTTTTTTTTTTTTGGTCACTTACGAATACCAAATTTTAAGAAATGTAATATCCCAACATTCATAAATGTTATAATTGGAAATCTTAACTTCAATAATAATTGATGTGAAACTTTTCTCTTGGTGGCGCACTTACACGAAGTCGTGAATATTTATATGATACGTGAAGTGAAAAAAGCACGCACAGTGAGAAAATAACATTAACTTAAGCTAATTCAAATATCTTGTAAAGTGAGTCAAATGTGATCTATATACCTAACATCCGTTAGACGGTTTTGACTACAAATTGCCGGTTTATACAGGCAAATAAAATCTATATTTCTGTAGAATAATTCATCTCTGAATTATAGAAATGAATGAATGTCAATGATAAAGCTATTGTTAATGTTTTTCAGACTCCTCGTTCAAGCAATGTATCATTAAATCTTTGCATTACACGTAGAATGTTTGTATGAAAATTTTTAAATAAATTTGACACCGTCACTTTATTCCAAGTACCTATGTTTAATTTTTATTTTAAACGAAATCCACTTTTAAGCTAAAAACCAAAATTTTTTTTGTTTGTTTTATCATGCTCATATATTATTTATTATCTTGAAAATTATATGCACATAATATGTAGTAATATTATATGAGTTTATGATATGTAGGAATAGATAACCCATTAAATTAATGACGATTACAATTATTCTCTAATACGATATTATTTATCACCTTTAAGTGTCGTTGTTATACACTTGTATTGTCTGAATTTAATTATAACATTAATGAACATTATTTTTCCTACGTCATGCATAAAATATAAAATTTAATAATTTTTTTAAGTTTTACTTTACTAACTTGATAATCATTTCCATTGTTTGAGTTTTCCGCATAGTCTGTGGATGCAATGTTCTTTACATGTTCACTATTCCCAATCTTCATGTTTTGCTCCTTAGTGTACGGGCCGAAACTTTTTTGTGGCACTTCGTTCGTAAAGCTATTATCCTTTCCTGAGAAGAAAACGAAAAGTATTCAAATATTAAGATCAAATGATTCTTCATATAAATTAACGATTGATGATTTTATTATTAAAAGATTATAATAAAAAATTACAAGGGGTATACAATCGAATAATAATATAAAATATATAATTGCAATAATAATATATTTGGTACTTATTATTATTATATGGCATATGAATGTTATCGGGAAACTCTCCGGATTGCAAATTATTGATTACATTTTCCAATGTTATAGAGCCCGACGGACTTTCCTCGTGCAACGAATAGTCAATGCGAGGTTGAGTAAATGTGATAAAACAAGAATATCTAACCCGAACTCCTGTCGTAATTTTGATCCCTGGTGAAGGGCCCGATGGCGGGTAGTTGCTCTTGGTGAAATTCTCCCCTCTGCTCGGTGTTCTCCTTCTTCGCTGGTTGCTCCTCGGATTTCGGCGGCTGTTCCTTTTCAGCGGTGCTAGCTTTTGTCCCTTCTTCGGTCTCCGGTGGAACATTGCATTCGCCCTCGTAGAGCGGCAGATAAACGGGCCGCTCGGACTCGAGGATGAGGCCACGCTTGCAGACCGAGTAGATGATTCCGTAGCTGTCGACCACAATGATTTTATCAACAGCCCAGGACACGAGGCCCGATGATATCCAGCCACTGTACGCCGTGTACTTGATCTGTGGATCGAGGCGTGTGATAAACTGCTTTGTTCAAGAAATATTTTTTTAAGCGAAACAAGTAAATAAGGATAGAAGGATGTGAATAAAGATTCACATCAAATCCAGAGAGACGCTCTTGGATGACTTGATATTTTTACAAATTTTTTATTTTGCATTAAATACGTTATTTCGAACTTTATTTCATTAGACATCATTTATTGTTGTTTATCATGAATTTCATGATAATAGAATATCTTCATATTTTAATAAAATTTTGTAAACAACTATAGACTACGAATCGAGGAAAACTTTATTTTTCCGACAATTTTCCCGACACATAATTTGACACAATAATATTTACTGAAGCGGCAAAAAAACTTATTATTGGTCACATTTTCTCATCGGATGATATAGATTTTCCCACATTTATAGCGACAATCTGTTGAAATAATCAAATAATGGAAATCGTTAAATGGATGGATTATTCGGATCGTTAATTGAATATGGAATTTGAAAGTTTTTCAATTTACATTCTGTATATCAATCATTACATGATAAAATATTGCAAAATACGGGTCATTCGATCAAACTTACGTATAATTTTTAACATTTTATCTCAGATCACGGAACTTTGTAACGATACAATTACGCAGACACGATCGCCTATATGTTAATTGATACTTTGGTAAGATTGAAAAAACTACATAATATCTGAAAATTTACACGAAATTGCTTTAAATGGTTAATATTTAATGAGAATGGAAAAGGTTCGCTGCATTACATCCAAATTCATAGGAATAAAAGAGCCAAATAATAGCTAATTATGAAAATTCACTGATACAATAGGTAATCTAATTTTTAATAAAGAGTATGATAAAATATTCCCAAGAATTATCGACTGCTTCGAGTCGACGGAGTTAGTTACGTGATATTTGTAATGGGCATAATTTCACATTCAATGCCACCGATCGGGGAAGTCAATAATTTTCTGGATCCTTTGCTACTTCACTCTAAAACAAAACATTAAAATTCGTTTACTTGCCTCTATAGCGTTGAGATTAGAAAGGGCTGGGTGGGGGACAACAATTTTCTGTAACGTCGCACCCACGAGGAGCTCCTCGTCATCTTTCTTCGTCATCGTGAAGGTCTCGTTGATGGAGCCTTCCGCTAATAAAGTTACTTGCAGCTTGCCGTAACTTTTCACCGGCCTCTCGTGTCTGCTGTTGTATACCTTCACCTAATTCACAGGAATCGGTTTGCACAATGCCGTAATCGTTTCTACCCACAAAACGTTAAAAGCGACGAGTTCGAAGAACGTTATTACAAGCTGCGGTATTAGCGTTTTTAAATTTTATCGAGTGACTTGCAAGACTGTAATTTTTAATAGTACTATCAATTTCGAAGTTAAGTCCCACCGTGCGCTACCGCTTCCATTGTAATTATTTATAGAAACACCACCACCACCACCTACCTGTTGGCAATTTAGACATAAATGTTGAGCTCTCGCGCTACGTTTGAGTGGAATTCTTCTACTCTAGAGTAATCGAGACTTTATTTTTTCGAAAACTTTTTGATCGGGTTTGAAGCAGTGCCTGCAAGAATTGTCGGGAGAAAATTTTTCGAATTCCCTTTTACGATTTATAAATTCTACGTTCGTTCAAGGAAGATAAGAAGGAAAATTTTTATAGTCGCTTTGTGGAAATAAGCTTTAGTGTAAATGCATTATATAGGAAAGGTCAAGCGATTTTTTCCCTTTAATTTATAATTACTTTTAACGCAATATATAACAATATTTAAATCATACGTTATTCTTTATTCTTTATTCTTTATTCTTTATTATTATTCTTTATTATTATTATTATTATTATTATTATTATTATTATTATTATTATTCTTTATTATTATTATTATTATTATTATTATCGATTAAAGTGTTTCATTAACTTTGTGGTAAATTTTAACAGGGGATTTTGAAATATCAACAAATTTATATATGATTTATAGACGATAGCGGGGCACACTCGTTAGATCAAACGATAATAATTCAATTATTTCAAATGCAAAAAGTACGAATTAATGAAAATTTAATTGAAAATACATGTCTAAATGTCAAAAGTAAATATATTTTATGCATGCACGCATTCATGCGCATACACGTATATGCGTTTACCTGCATGCGCCTGTTTATAAATATATGTGCATATGTATATAGATGTTCTATTTTTCGATAAAATCGTCAAATAGAGTATAATAAATACCGTTTGTAATAATATGTTCTTTAAGCAGTTATATTATAAAAATTAAAGCTTGAAAGCAGCAAATCATTGGACCAAAGGATATATTTAGTTGGTAAAGTAACATAATAAATATTTAGGCAAAATCAATCATTACTCTATTTGAATTACAAACCTTATGTAAATTATTCATTTTTCACTTTTTTTTTCTTTTCGTTTTTTTTTTTCCCCCGAACGTGTAAACGTGTCTTGGAAGCTTGTAATTGCCAGAATTATAATAACGCACGAGTAAGATATTGCACCTATCGACTTAACCATTTTTAAAAATGCTAATTGGCAAAATGTTATTTATGATATTTTAAAAAAGAATTATCGCATAGCGTAACATACGATTAAATCTCTCTGAGAGCCATTTTCGTCTAAAGCCTACTTTCTTCAGTCTGCTAAAAAGAAAAACCCACTAGCATTAGTAAAGGAAAAAGTAAGCGATTGATTAGTCTTAGTAAATATTGGTTTCTTCCCACCTAATGGCGCAATAATAACGTCGGGCGTCATCGGTATGTGTTTCTATATGCCGACCTCAATAGCCGCCGACTAATCTCCAAAACGCAAACGGCGCATCTTCCGCGCTCCGCGCTTTATTTCCCGCCGCGGTAAGGCCCACCGAGATTACCTGGTACTGATGAGCACAGAAGGGCTCCTCGTCGCGCGTCACCAGGTACAGCTGACCCCTGGCGGCCGAAACGTCGCTGTAGAATCCCATTACGCCGCAGGTCGTCTCGGACTGCGACTTGCAGGGGAAGCACTCGCCCTTGAGCAGCCCTTCGTAGCCGCTCTCGCAGGGGAACGCGGGAAAGTGGCACTTGGGGCTGATCGAATCCGTGAAGAGTTTGTAAGCGCGTCGATGGTTACATAACGATCGGCCTTCCACTGGACTCGCTAGTTTCACATCAAATACTTGGCTTAACTTCGCGCTGTCACATGGGTACATTGGGCTGCCTAAGCTTCATTTACCCATTCTCATATATCATCATTCTCAGTCGTTATAATGTCGAGTTTCTCCATATTATGCCACACGTTACAATTAATTACGCAGTAAGCTAATTACTACGTAACTATCAGACTCAATAGCTAACTAACTAACTGTCTTGGGTAGGCGAGGAAGGTCATTGCGCGCAGAGTTGGCTTAGATTTTATGAACTTCAAAGTTTATTGGAATACCGTGGACATTTATGTTGGATAGACGATCATTTCACGGAGGCTGTGATTTTATAAATACATAATATTCGGAGATTATTTCTATAATCAAACACAGATAATTGGACAATTTCTCTGGCAGGGGAATGATTTCTTTATCCTTGCATTGGATAGGTGTGAGAGGGCTGGATTCGCTCAGTTGGGAAATTCATCCGATAGTCCCTGGTGGTGTCGCCTATCTGACGAATATCCTTGCCAATCGAGCTGCCAATATGCCTGTGCGCTTCTTTCAGCATTACATTTTTAACGCGAGATCTGCGAGTTGTGCTACGGAAAGTGCGCGATACTTGCTATCACAGCCTTCATTATACATGCATCCCGTATAATTCGTTAATCCCTCTTCGTTCTGTCTCGTAGTGTCGATTGCCATCGCATCGCATCGATGGAGGAACAATAAAATTAAAGAATACCCCTCGATGAGTCGCGAGGATGGTCGAGAGGATAAAGCCACCTGGACCTTCGCCCGCACAGATACCGATTTCGTTCTTACTACAAATGAGCATTAATACTAGCTTTTGTTTGGCTCGAGAGAATGGGAAATAGTAGTAAAAAAAAAAAAAAAAAAAAAAAAAAAAATGAAAGAAAAAAGTCACCGTAATAACAGCAGCGAGCTCCTCGAATATTATTTAAAGTCTCGTAGGAGGCTGGAGAGGAGTTAGATTATTAAGATTGCCGACTAATACCGGGAAAGTAAATGTACGCGCAGCAAGATCGAGGGAGAAAAGCCGGCGAACAATTATCATGCGTAACGCGAAAAAGAAAATAACGAGAGGGCGGAAAAGGAGCATAACGCTCGGATGAGGAAGAGGATAAAAAAAAATCGCATGCAGGCATCCATCTCGAGCAGAAAAGCCATCGCCGCTCGAGGGGACATTCGGAATAAAGTCATGCGCTTACGCGCAAACACATACACGGGCAGATAAATATAGGAGCGGAGCCAAGTACGACCCACTTTCGCGCGAGCGTGAAAAGAGTGGCGGAGGAGCGCCGGCGTGGGAGGCGGTGAAAAGGCGACGCGCGCGCACGCACACGCACACGCACACGCTGCGGCTTTCTAATCGGACGGGGAGACACGTATCGATCTTGCGAGCCTCGCGATCCAACCGAGAAAGTGATATAGCGTCCGGACCCGTTTGGCCACGCGTCTACCTTCCAAACTCCCGTCGGCTACTGTCGAAAATACCGAGCGAGGAATTTATCATCCGCTCGTCTTCTTTGTTATTATCATTATTTTGCTTCCCCCTCGGCTTTATCTCCTCCCATCTGTATTCCAGTATTCCAGTGATGATAAGGCGCCATTGGTAGAGCCCGAGCGGGAATATCGAGTAGAAAGCTGATAAATCGGGAACTAGCGGCTACTCGTCGGGACCTTTTCAGTTTCGCTTTATTTACTCTGTCATTATTAGCTTGCATGAAGCGCGAGTAGATTTTGGTAACGAGGGCCGTTCCTTCAATTCGTATTTCAATTATCAAACAAATAAGGCTATACTTTACGAGAATTCAGGCTGAAATTTCTTCTCTCTATGACTACTTTAAGAGCACCTTAGTGGCATTGATATTAAATGTTGTTGACAAAATTACTTAAAAAGTTAAACAATTACGATTGCTCCGTCGTTAAAAATCACGGCCTCCTCATTACTAAATGCATCTATGTTGCGTTATTACTCTTAAATGCCCGTACTTGACAATTTTCACATAGTTTATAATTTGAATGAATTTATTCGATATAATGTGCAATCCACTAACTGTACGATATGAACTATTAATAAAAAAAATTTTTTACTTTACCGAATGTTGCTTTTACTGAAAAATTTGGCCATTTTCATCATAACCATCGAATATTCGTCGTCATTTTTCCTATCTTTTTTTTCTTTGTGTATGTGTTTTTTTTTTTTTTTTTTTGTAAAGTACGCATTTTCCGCCTGAATGATTATTTTCAGACAAATATTGAAATCCTCAATTTGAAACGTACGCACTTACCTCCGTTATTTAAAAAATTTCTAAAGTATTTGATTGAGTAAGTATAAGGTAGTTTGTAATAATGTTCCATCAATTTTCTTGGAGTTAACAATTACTTATAAATTCTAATTAACGCATACTTGTTTAAAGACAAAACGTTTAAGACTTATATAATCGAGGACACAAAAATTAGCCAAATAAGTACTTAAATTGAAATAAATTATACAAAAGTTGCCACGGAAACGTTCTCTTATATTATTCGAAACTTTAGATTTATATAGCCGAGGCAGCATATGTGCATAATAATAATAATAATAATACTAAAATTAATGACCGATAATTGACTATTTAATACTCAAATAACAATTACGTATTAACAACATCCGCAAAAATTATCGTTCACTGGTATTAATCATATGATAAAATGTGGACTGTCAAGTACATGTAAAAGAGGATAAAATTGTTTATAAATATTCGATATAACGATTATCAGTAGAATGATCGTTAAAATTTTTAATTCAACAATAATTATTATTCTATCGCATTGCATCCGTTACCATTATAATTCTATTATTCTTACGGGCTCTGTCGTTAACAGAAAATTTAAGATCCCAATGACAGCGTCGTTATCATACAAGATAATCGAAATCAGTGGCTGATGACTTACACCAAATAATATCACTAACGGCGCCAACAAAGAGGTTCGAGCAGCCGCTTTGCATCTTGCCGCCGTTCGGATAGAAATCGACGTCGCCCATTGGCTGCCAGGAGCCGAGACCCCCGAGGATCAGCTGTTCGCCATTACTGTGAATCACATCAACGAAATGGGCGTCGGTCTTGTCAAGTCGTGCACGTGGATCCTGTGACTCGAAAAGCGGCCCCGCTGGATCCAGACCTGAGCCCATAACAAACATCACGTTATCCACATTGGCGATGCTTTGCAAAAAAGAGACATTAGTTGCGTGCACGCGCTCTCGAACGATATCTCGAGATAATAATTATACGCTTTTGGCATGAATCTTAGGCAGTTTCGTTAAAATAGTGCTTCGGATCGCTTATCTCGGCTCAAAAGTAAGCGCAATCACTATAATACAAAATTCTGTCCTACACCGCATATTCAAAGGTGAATGTCCTATTTTAAATATTTATTGTACAAACAAGAATCGTTTAGAAAGCGCGTTCCGGATGTTTGGCAATGCTATATTAATTGCTTACATAATGTTCATTTCGAGCATATTTCAATTGGGAAATAATATTCTTTAATCAATGGGTTAACAATAATACATCAAATATTATTGTCAATCAATAAGGAATAAGTTGGACGAATATGAATGTAAACAGTAAATTGTTGACATTAATTTTACATAAAGTTGTAAATTTTTCGTATTAATGACATAAATTCACGTTGTTATTTATTACGTTTTTACTTTTAATCTTTTCATTCGGCTATAATTATAGACACGAATATTGGCATACAATTCTGTATGCGCGCGCGCGCGCCACACACACACACACACACACACACACATTATAATTATAAACAAATATAAATGTTATGTTGAATATTTTCTTTCGTTTTATGAATATTATATCCCAGTGACGGAAAATTATAATAAATATATTACTTAAATAGATAAATAGTATTAGTACAAAATTCATGATAACTGTCCCTTACTGCTTATTATAAATATTGAAACATATACTAGTTAGTATAAGTAATAGAATGTCAATCTCCATTTTATACGAATTTACAAAAGGAAAAAAGGAAATATTTTCGTTGTCTCGTGATGAAAACATATGAACAAACATGTAATCAACGATAAGTTCACGGACCAACGTTCATAACACAGTTATCGAAAAATTTTGTTATACTTTTTTTTTAAAACGTTAGTGCCTAAAGCTAAACTGTCGATAGAGAGGAAAAGAGAAAATGACTGCAATCAATAATTAATATTCCACTGGCTTTCTTTCTTTCATTTCTTAATAATCTTAGCGTATCATTAAGATTCTCATATTTTATTTGATTATATCATTAATTATTATATGTATGTATAATATTTTCTTTGCATTTATCTCTTAGAATATTATTTTAAGCTTAATATCTTAATAAAAAAAAAAAAAAAAAAAAAAAAAAAAAAAAAAAAAAAAAAAATTATCTAAATATGCAAGAAATATTGAAATTCATGCCTAATGCTTTAGTTCTGATGTATCATTAAAAAATAACTGTTCTTAATAAAGTTCCGTTGCCTTAAATAATACGTTCAAATAAATTAATTACACGAGAAAGTGATTCGGGAAATTTAAACCCGATCGATCAATAAAATCATAATAATTGGTTCTAATTAAGAAAATGCTTGGCCGTGCAAAAATTTGAGTTGATTACCTTAGCTATGGTATGGTCGTTATTGGTTGCTTAGATATCGAAAGATTTAAACATCTAAGTGACTTTCACACCTTATTATAAGTAAAAGTATCTATAAAGTTGGATATTGAAAATTAAAGCCACTGTATACTGAATATTTCGATTTTATCTGTCGACATACGAATGGACCGTAGAATACAAAAATGATGAATCACTTTATTAACAACATTTAAAATTTTATTTTTTAAATCTGCCTTTTATAATGTTTGTTTTAATAGTATTATATTTTTTGACATTTACATTTTCCATTTAACATCTTTGAAACTGCTATATGAAACAATTAATTGTATTAATTTCTTTTACATAGCCTATCGTGCCCATTTTACCGTGTTTAAAGTGGACAAAAATAAAGTAGACAAAGTAATAAAAATTTACAAAAAAAAAAAAAAAAAAAAAAAAAAAAAAAACAAGACAATCATCATTACTGCATACGTTAAGAAAAAATTTACACTACATCTATAAATATTATTGAAAATTTCAGTTTATGTAGTAATTGCTTATTGAAAATAAACGTAAATGAAAAACAATTCAAATCGAGTTTATTGAAAATTTCAATTCAAAGCATAAGCTCGTAATAATTGCTCTTAATTCTTTTTTTTTTTTTTTTAACATTTAGAATAAAGATAGTGTATAATCTTTAATTTGGTTTATAAACATAACAATAAGAAAAATATCTTTACATGTATGTACAAGTGGATGGCTTTTAATTTAAGAAAAAATTATGAACTAATTTATCGTTATCTTAATGATACTTTAATGTAAAATAATTGCACATAGTCTAATAATGCGTAAACACTCGTTGGAAATTTATCGATAACGCATCTCTTAAATTGATTGTTACGCTTTATAAACAAAAGTATGATTTTGTTTCCATTGCTCTTGAACAATACATATACTCATTAGGATCGAGATTTTTGTCTTAAATGGCGTAACGCTAAGTGCACTCGCTTAGGTGCAACTATCTTTGCTGGGTTTCTCTCAACTTCAAGGAAGCGACGGATACAAAATTTTTTCCTTCCTACTCTTCTCAGTCTTATCTTTAGAAAGTTTTGAGAATCTAATAGAGCTCATTACGAATAAGATGAAGACTTTTTTTCGCAAATGTATTTTACAATTATTTTAATGAGCCGTTAATTCTGATTTGCACTATTGATTCACGATATTTAATTGTATGATGAATCTCACATTAATATTATCATTTATCATAAAATTTATCCAATAAAATAAATTGATTTTCTAACTCTCTCTCTCTCTCTCTCTCTCTCTCTCTCTCTCTCTCTATCTATCTAAAAAAAAAAAAGAAGAAGTCAAATTTCATAATTTTTTTTATTTCTAAAAATTTTTAGTAATTTTATGTCAAATTGACAATTACATTTAAAATATGAAATTTTTATTATAAACATTCGATAATAATCATTCGAATCGTAAAATAATTTTCATAAGATTATTAACAACGTTTCATCATTTTTAATGTTATTTAACGTTAAGTACGTATAGTGAGAATGTAACTTTATTACCATTCAAATAAATTCTTTGCATAAAAATACATTAAATACAAAAAAAGAAGGAAAAAAAGAAAACCAAATGAAAAAAGAAACAAGCGCGATACGAAAATTCAGCAAAAATGAATTGAAAGCTTCATCGTTCAAAATGTTTATTTAATAAATATTAATCAATCTATAGAGTTTTTTATTTGACATTCTTCGCATAATTTCGCCGCATCTAATCTCACATCAAAGTTGAAACAAAAGTTTGTTTTCGACTCTTAAACCCTAATAGTCACTGCTAATTTATGTCAACTTCAATCACAATGATCGCTTACTATTTTAATTAAAATAATAAGCTAGATATGAATAATCGATATCATTACTATTTGCCAAATTCTATCATTTCATATTTATTAAGCTAATTCGTTTGAGATTCGAAGCGATTAATTAAATATATCAAGCTTATAAAATAAATCGTATAATACTAATCATCATCGAATGTCAATTAAGTCGTCACAGATATGTTTTTCTCGTGTATCCAGGGACGACGGACCGTATTGTGTAACTTAAGAATTTCATTAAAAGCACTATGCGACCGTTTTTGAGGATTGACAAGCCAAATTTATCACCATTCCTCCTACCCCTCCAATTCCCTCCGCGGCCGCCATTGGCCATTGAGTTAATTCGAGTGCGTTAACCTCCTCATCGACCTTCCCATCACCACATAATTAATTCCCATCAACAAGTTGTGGCAAACTCTTTAATAAATACCAAACTAGTGGCTAAACTGTCCACCTCGAGTATCAGGAGCAGCAGGAGCAACTTACCGGTTATCCTGGAAACATTGCCGAGCTCGGCGCCGGCGAATCCGGCCACATGAGCACCCAAGCTGAATCCGATCAGGTGTATCTTGTCCAAGGAGACGTTGAGGCTGCGCACGAGCTTGGCGAGCTGACGGCCGACGAGTCGTGTATTAGCTGCGGCCCTCACGTAATTCGGCACCGCGCTGCCCGGGCCCCAATCCACGCACACTAACGAAATTGAAATTCGGACCTCGGAATTAGCATAAAGCTGTGGCGTCGCGCGGCTCGGCTGGCTCGACAGCGCTCGAGCTCGATTTTCTTTTAACGGCGGCGTTAATTTGTGTTACCCGCCGCGGGAGCGTGTGACCATTTTGAGATTCAATTACGAAATGTTGACAAACGTGACTTTCGATTTCAAGGAGCGCGGCTTTTAAAATTATTATGGTACAGCTTCGTACCGATACACACTGGATCCCTTTATATGTTAATGCTATTTACAATATGTGGCCACGAGTTTTTACGATAGTTGAAATATTTTCGTTTGAGAAATCGAGTGTTATTACAGACATTTGAATTCCGTGCTCTATAGTCGAATCATTTAAGTAACTATTTTATGATGTACATTGGTACTTTTTCTTTTATTTATTTTGTCGTTTTTTAAACATCTTTCTTGGAACTTCGTAGAATTTTCAAATTCATTAAATAGCATCTACCGACATTAAATTGTGACAATGCTAAGCGAGGAATTTTAATTATGTATTTACGTTGTAAGCTTCTCAAATATTGTCCATTGAAATTATAAATTAAGTATGGAACGTGCAATTTCAATTAATTGTAACGATAAAATCATTTATGTTTGTCAAATTTAAATCGTCTAACAAAATACAAATAGCAATAAACAGCTTTTATATAATCAATAATTTATGATTTGTACTGTTATTAAATTATTTTTATCTTTATAATATATTCATTGTTGTTATCATTGAAATAGAAGAAAAAAATGTATATATATATATATATATATATATATATATATATATATATATATATATATATA